GGAGGGCACAAGGAGAAGGGGATGACAGAGGACGAGATGGTTGGACAGTGTTCTCGAAGCTACAAACATGAGTCTGACCAAACTGCGGGAGACAGTGGAAGACAGAAGTGCCTGGCGTGCTCTGGTCCAGGGGGTCACGAAGAGTCGGACACGACTAAACAACTAAACAACAGGTGGGAGTGTGCACGGATTTGCCCACCTTGCCAGCCAAATGAGCATATAGGAAGAAACACCCGAGTGAGTAATTGAGGATAAACCCAGGATCTTCTTATACCATCAGCAGACAGGTAGAAGGAAGGACTAGTGGTTAGGTTGTTGTGGGAGCCACGAGCAGGGGTTAAACTGAGGAGGTTTGTTCCAACAAGCAGGCCTGCCTCTTCATGGAGATTTATTTTCCAAGAGATGGTTGGCTTGCCCTCTCATGGCTGCGCCTGATAATGGATGGAGTTTTGGCTCTGGGTATTCCAGCGCCGCAGAATAAACGGGGAGGGGAGGGCTGGAAGAGCGAAACATGTACGCAGCAAGGGAGATGCAATGCCGAAACCCTTTTAAGGCAGGGTGGCTGGGAGCAATCCCTTCCCCCTTGCTCACCCAGCTCCTGCAGTGACAGTCCGCCCCCCCCCATGATGGATGGGATCCCTCTATGCTCTCTCCAGGTGGAACGTGGGCTGTTCGTAGATGATAAGAAGCTACCCATAAATCTTAAATAGAAAGGAACCAGAACTCTGGGGAAGGGAGGGCAGGGGAGGAAGAGTGTGTGTTGCATTTCCAGTGGTACTCCTGACCAGCCCCTTTTATAGTTTTAAGGATCTCATCACACATCAAATTGTTTTTGGTGTAGACATAGGTTTCCCCCCACCCCAGCTGTACACCTTAATATGTATGAATCTGGCAAACAGGTGTTTGGAAACATGTGCTATCAAGTATACACTTTTCACAGATTGGCTACAGCTCCTTGTTGGTGGCAAACTTGGGTCAGTGGCTGCATAATGTCTGACGCTGACCTAAGAGGAGGGTGACAGAGGATGGTGTAATTGAGATGGGCCATTGAAGGGTCCCTAATGGCTTGGTTCAGTAGTGTAAACTGGACAGACTGTGGTATTTTAGTAGATTTGTAATGGTTTGGGTGCTGTTCTTAGAGAATATAAGAGATATCCTCTAGAAGCCAATAGTTCTGGGAATTGTTGGTTCAATCTACAGTTGTGGGAGAAGGGGAGGTGTTTTTAAGGATTCTGTCTCACAGAAAGGAAACACACACAAAAATCTATCATGTCCAAGATGCATTGCGAGATTGTTGATCTTGAAGTTAAGGACAACTTTGCAAGAGTTTAGTTGCAGATGATTAGACCTTAGAACACACACACACACACACACACACACACACACACACACACACGGACACACGGACAAACAGAAGAAGATGCCTTTACCCCAGTATGGCTCCCCTTTATCACATACAGAGCCCAAAAAGACAATGACAATAATCCACCAACAGCATACAAATCAATATGGCTAACCTGACCCAAAACACCCACCCACCTCACTCACACACGAAAACGAAGACCACCACAGCCAATCACAAACAAACAACCACACCCTAGGCCAACCCCAACCTCTCTCACCACCAAAGGAACACAAGTGAACAGCACAAGCAACGCTGACACCAAACCCTACATACATTAAGCATAATAGAAACATCGCCACCTGACCTCACCCCCACCCATCTTTTCCCCCTCCATCCCTTTTCCCCCCTTCCCCTAATGTCTCAACAAATGAAATGGATTTGTAAAAATGTTACATGGAAAAAATACGAGAGACATTACACATAGTTCTGTAAAACAAGAAAATCTTTAATAATAATTAAAAAAAGAACACACACACACACACACACACACACACACCTCCAGCCATCTATCAAGTCCAAAGTGCCTTACAAGTTTGCTTGCCTTGCCACTGAAGTCTTGCAAACTTTAAGGTTACACCTTACAAACAGAGCAAAAACTGGAGAAGACTCTTTATGAGGGAGGCCTTGGACAAGTCAACCCTCTCTGCTTCAGTTTCTCTAATGGAATGGGAATAAAATGCATCATTCAGCAGTTTAGCACAAAACCATAGTTTGGTTTGGAAATATTGCTTACACTGAGATACAGCAGTTGGCTTTAAATGACTGTTAAATTTTAGAAGTGATGAAGGAGTATGTAGATCAGGGAACCTGTAGTCTTGTTGCAAAACTCCAGAAACTTGCTGGGAGCAAATGTCTCATGCAAAAAGCATGGGTTGTACTGCACAAGGAACCAGGAGAGTGGCCAGGCATTAAGAGCAGGGGAGAAATTTGATTCAGCTCATATTTAAAGGTGAACTTTCCAGCACAACATACAAACCAACAACAACCACCACCACCAGTGCAAAATTCACACTTCTTCAAATTTTGCAGTGCAGTTCTGCTGGCAAGTGCTGTGTGCAAAAGTGCATATACGATGGTAAAGTGTGCATATATTAGTGAAAAGTGCTTGATAAAATGTGTATGTTAGGCAAAAGTACATACAAAAATGTGTTTGGAAGGCGAAATTAGCACTAAGATGCCGATGAATTTTCATGTTTTTAAAAAATAATTTCAAGCTGATGTGGAAATGTGGAGATGTAAATGAAAGATTGGTAAAAAATGAGAAATGAAGAAAATCTGCTTTTGACAGATTTGCCTATCCCAACCAGGCACATATTAAACCAGCCCAGCCCAATTCAACGTGCTCCTGTCACCATACAGAACCCTAAATGACTGTCCCCAAATTTCAGAAGGTATTTGCACATTGTTTCAGGAGGTGCAAATTAGGTAGCTGAGAGCTGAGAATTTTATGGAAGCAAATTTCTCCCCCCCCCCCCCAATAATAACTTTTGAGGTCAGGTCAAGAGATACTTCTTCGCACAGGCTTTGGGGAAGTGGGAAATGTTACAGGGTGCAATTGCATTGAATCGCCCAGAAACAGCAAGGCAAAAGGTGGGCTATAAATGCCTGTTAAACAGAGAAGAAGGGAGAAGAAGCAGAAAATCACCTTCTCAAATGTCACTGCTGCCATGAAGTGACATTCTCTAGAAGTCCTGCCATTTGCAAAGCGGGGATGGGAACACGGACCTCTCTTACAGGGATGTTGTAAAGATTATAAAGTGATGTATATGCTTTGTTCAGCGGGACGCGGGTGGCGCTGTGGGTTAAACCACAGAGCCTAGGACTTGCCGATCAGAAGGTTGGCAGTTCGAATCCCCGTGACGGGGTGAGCTCCTGTTGCTCGGTCCCTGCTCCTGCCAACCTAGCAGTTCGAAAGCACCCCAAAAAGTGCAAGTAGATAAATAGGTACCACTCTGGCGGGAAGGTAAATGGCGTTTCCGTGTGCTACTCTGGTTCGCCAGAAGCGGCTTAGTCATGCTGGCCACATGACCCAGAAGCTGGACGCCGGCTCCCTCGGCCAATAAAGCAAGATGAGCGCCGTTACCCCAGAGTCGGCCATGACTGGACCTAATGGTCAGGGGTCCCTTTACCTTTACCTTTTATGCTTTGTTCACTCAAAAGCACCATATAAATACTAAGTGTTTTTGTTAATTCTAAGCATTTTGAAATGCACCATTGCCTAAATGAAGTGTTACATTAGGCTTGGAATGTGCCAGCCGTTAACCTTTCAGAGTGCTTCAATTAATTGTTTCCTTGGCACCTTTTGAGGCTAAACCACCTTTTGCCCCTGTGGTTTCAGAAATTGGTGCCACCGTCTTTTTTGTGTGTGTGATGCCTCCATCCCACCCTGTTGCAGCCTGTGCCTTTGAGAGTTGCAGTGCCATGCAGAAAAATTCAACAGGCAAGGCTTTGGCTGCACCTATTGATTTCCCGCCAGCCAGGCACATGCTGAAAGCAAAGGAACTTTGCCTGGAAAAGGTGTCAACCCATCAAGCTCTTTAATCCTCGCTCCTACAAAATTGCCAACTTTCTTCTTTAAAAAGTGACCCAGCTCCTCTTCCCTTAGGAGCAGCCCAACAAGCAAAAACGAAATCCATCTCTGGGCACAGAGATGAGGTTGAAGGGGAAAGAGGCACCTGCAGGCTAATCCTAAAAGCATAGGAGCATGGCCAGCAAGGAAGGGTGGCAACCTTCTCTATAGCGGTTTGTTCAATAAACGTGAATCATCGTTGCCTTTGGGGCTTTAAAGGTTGCAGGGAGAGGGGCCCAAGATTAAATTCTTTGGGCTTCTTAGTCTAAGGCATTTGACTTGTGCTTGTCCATTGAACGGTCTTCCCCATATCAACTGCCTCCTCCCCACAACTTACCCCAGAAACCCCTGCGGGGTGTGTTTGCAACCAAGCAGCAAGGACTCCCGACATCCTGACAAACACAGCACCCCCCCACCCTTCTCTGCACCTCCCTCCCCGCCCTTAAATGGTGATTTATGAATGTTGTCTGGCACAACAGCCCAAGGGTCCCTGGAGAAATCACTAGAGTGAATTAGACTCCCCCTTCGTCCTCCCCCCCACAGCAATGTAGCCCACAATCTAATGTCATCCAGGGGATTAATTAGTGGCTGTTGATTAAATCCTACCTTAACCCTTTCCCTGCAAGAGTTTATCCAGCAGATGCATAACAACTTTCGCCATCATTCCCTCCAATTTTTCATTGATGTTTTCTGTTGCATGTTCCTCCCCCTGTCCGTCCTTCCTTCCTTCCTGCCTGCCTGCCTGCCTGCTAAACTGCAGCACTGCTTTGAAAGACAATGATGCCTAGTGGCATGGATTTTCTAACTGCATTCCCAGCTTGGAAAGTTTGGTTTGCAAGGCCAGTTTTAGCTTGGGCAGTGATGAGGGACGCTTTGGGGCTTGGTCTTGCAAAAGGGAGTTCAGGCATTGCACCCCGCTGATTTGAGAAGATAACAATTTGTTTGCACTACACTAAGGTTACCAGATGCTTTTGAATTATGGTGCTGGAGGAGACTCTTGAGAGTCCCATGGACTGCAAGAAGATCAAACGTATCCATTCTTAAGGAAATCAGCCCTGAGTGCTCACTGGAAGGACAGATCGTGAAGCTGAGGCTCCAATACTTTGGCCACCTCATGAGAAGAGAAGACTCCCTGGAAAAGACCCTGATGTTGGGAAAGATGGAGGGCACAAGGAGAAGGGGACGACAGAGGATGAGATGGTTGGATGGTGTTCTTGAAGCTACCAGCAGGAATTTGACCAAACTGCGGGAGGCAGTGGAAGACAGAAATGCCTGGCGTGCTCTGGTCCATGGGGTCACGAAGAGTCGGACACGACTAAACGACTAAACAACAACAACAAGGTTACCAGACGTCCCCATTTCCCAGGGACAGTCCCCGGATTTACAAATCAGTCCCCATCCATTGAATCCATTGAAGTTGAAAAGTGTCCCCGGATTCATTGGGGGAAAAAATCTGGTAACCTTACACTACACTAAAGGCCTGGCTATGCAAATGCATGTTACAGAGTCCAGATAACTACTTAAAAGGGTGAGGGAAGAAATGCAGTTTGTGAATGGGGAAATTGGAAAAGAAACGAGTTGGGGCCCCTGATGAATTGTTTTTCTACTTCCCATGCACTCCCTTCTGTCCTTCCTCCTGCCACTTCTGTGCTCCAAATTTATCCCTCCTGAAACTCTTAGAAAGGGTTGCAGCAACACAGCTTTGTCATACATGTGAATTGTGCATTTGGTCCTCAACATTCCTTTTGTGGTGGATAGAGTCTGCATGGATTTCCCTATAGCTCTCACTGAATTAACAGTTGATGGAGCAGTTAGAATAGCTGCTAATAATGTCGGGAAGTAATAATGTTAGGGAATCTCTAGGGACTTGCAGAAGATAGTACTTTACACCCTGCTGGCTGGAGCAGATAGTGTTTTGCTTGCACCAGGCTGAGTCTCCTAATTATAATGGTTATATGTAGAGAAAGGAACACTTTTTTAAAAATGACCTTAACAAAAAAGAGATGGTCTAGCCTTGGGGAAGCCTCCCTCTTTCCTAGTTCGTAAAATGAGAATAGTTGTTGTTTAGTCGTTTAGTCATGTCCGATTCTTCGTGACGCCATGGACTAGAGCAGGCCAGGCACTCCTGTCTTCCACTGCCTCCCGCAGCTTGGTCAGACTCATGCTGGTAGCTTCGAGAACACTGTCCAACCATCTCGTCCTCTGTCGTCCCCTTCTCCTTGTGCCCTCCATCTTTCCCAACATCAGGGTCTTTTCCAGGGAGGCTTCTCTTCTAGTGAGGTGGCCAAAGTCTTGGAGCCTCAGCTTCCTCCAGCACCATAATTCAAAAGCATCCATTCTTCGGCGATCAGCCTTCTTTATGGTCCAGCTCTCACTTCCATACATCACTACCGGGAAAACCATAGCTTTAACTATATGGACCTTTGTTGGCAAGGTGATGTCTCTGCTTTTTAAGATGCTGTCTAGGTTTGCCATCGCCTTTCTACCAAGGAGCAGGCGTCTTTTAATTTTGTAACTGCTGTCACCATCTGCAGTGATCATGGAGCCCAAGTATGTAAAATCTCTCACTGCCTCCATTTCTTCCCCTTCTATTTGCCAGGAGGTGATGGGCCCAGTGGCCATGATCTCTGTTTTCTTGATGTTGAGTTTCAGACCATATTTTGGGCTCTCCTCTTTCACCCTCATTAAAAGGTTCTTTAAGTCCTCCTCACTTTCTGCCATCAAGGTTGTGTCATCTGCATATCTGAGGTTGTTGATATTCTTCCGGCGATCTTAATTCCAGCTTGGGACTCATCCAGCCCAGCCTTTCGCATGATGAATTCTGCATATAAGTTAAATAAGCAGAATTTATTTATTTATTTATTTAGAAAGATTTGGAAACTGCTTAGTCAAAAAAAAACCTCTCTGATTAATTAATCAGTTCGTAGATCATGAGACTCTTAACCTTAGGGTCATGGGTTCGAGCCCCACATTGGTCCAAAGGTTCCTGCATTGCAGGGGGTTGGACTAGACGACCCTTGTGGTCCCTTCCAACTCTACAGTCTATGACTCTATGAACATAGTTCCAGCATTGCCAACTTTTTTTTTTTTACCTGCTCCTCTGCTTTCCCCCCTGTTTGGTCTGCGCCCATTAGCAGCTGATATTGCTCTTTGCCAGTTCTGTCAACAGTGGCTGATTTTGGCAGGCCCAGCAGCATTCATAGAATCATAGAATTGTAGAACTGGAAGGGTTACCCCGAAGGTCATCTACTACCTGAATGGCACAGGCGCCAGCCTGGCCCATCTGTGGTCATTTGCCAACTTTTAGCTACATCCTTAGTTTTGTTCTGGAGGGCAAATGAGGCTGGGATGTAGGCCGCAAGCTCCTTCAAGCTGGGATCTGTCTTTTCCTTTATGTAAATCACCACATATACCCACAAATTAAGCGCTTTGCACATCAGCCTCGTTTTAAATGATCCCTGACTATCTTCCGTAATGCCTTGAATTATCTCATCCTCCTGCTTTTTGTGTGTGTGTGCCGTTTCTTCAGCAATGTAACTGGACCTCCCCTCTTGTTTATCAAGGGAAATTTAATTTACCCAACTCGTGTCTTGCTAAATAAATGGGAGCCTGCCTTGAGAAAACAAGTGTGCACGGACTTCCTGCCTTGCACATTCCGGGGAAGAGAACTGACTAAAGCATCTTCTAGGAAAGAGCCAAAAGGGGGAGCAGCTTTTGCTGAAAGTTTGATCAGCTTGGAAAACTGCCTTGTGTTTCAGTTGTGGCTGGGAAGGGGGTGACTGGGAAAAGAGAGCCAAAATACCCCCTAGTTCTGAGTGAGGACAATCCTGAGGCAGGAAGCATTGCCTTCACTCTCAGGTGGCTTTGTAACATCATTGCATAACCAAATCTGATTGGCTACGTAGCTGGCATCATGGCAATATTGCACTCACTGCAAATTCCCGATTGGCTGGGTCACTGCTCTCAGCAGTGAAAAGATGCAGTTAAAAGAAAATAACGGTGACCCGATTGAGGAATAAAGGGGCGGCAAAAGAAAGGGAGCAAGGATTTTGAGGGGAGAATATTTTGCCCATCTTTGTCCTCAAAATAATAATAACAGCAGTAATAATTTATTAATGTGTATACTTTTTGGGTGGGCTTAATGGCACAATAGACTTCTAAGTGGTTTGGAAATACAGTGGTACCTTGGGTTACATACGCTTCAGGTTACATACGCTTCAGGATACAGACTCCACCAACTCAGAAATAGTACCTCGGGTTAAGAACTTTGCTTCAGGACGAGAACAGAAATCGTGCTCTGGTGGCGCGGCAGCAGCAGGAGGCCCCATTAGCTAAAGTGGTGCTTCAGGTTAAGAACAGTTTCAGGTTAAGAACGGACCTCCGGAACAAATTAAGTACTTAACCCGAGCTACCACTGTATAAAGAAAACCTGCAAAATGTTTGCAAGACAACATGTAAAGACCAGTTTTCAACTGAAAATGCTTTCAGTTGGCAAGAGTCCGCCCCCCCAAAGACCAGCAAGAGCACTACAGACAACATGCAATGGCAGCTTTAAATTCCACCATGCTATCTATCTATCATCTATCTATCTATCTATCTATCTATCTATCATCGATCTATCTATCTATCACAATTATTTGGAGGGACATTGCCTGGTGAATTCTTGTACCTGGATTAATCTGTGAGTGTGTACTAGACAACATTTGTGGTGGTGTGCTAGACAAAATAAGTCGACTGAAGCCAAATGGTAGACTATAACCTCCATAGTTGGAGGGGATGTAACCCTCAAATGCAGAGTCCGTCTTCAACTGGGGTGGGGGCACAGAACACTGTGCGATCTTGGGCAAGTTGCCATCTTTCAGTGTCACCTACCTCACAGGGTTGTTGCATGGCTAAATTGGAGGAAGAGGGTTGTGTGTGTGTCCCGTGAGGTCCCTGGAGGAGGAAAGGGAGAGAGAAACACGCTAAAATAATAAATGCATGCTGGAATAGAAAGAGAAGCGAGAGGTCAAAATCATAGCGCAGTGGGACTCAGGTGGGCTCCCCCCACTAATCAAATAGTGTTCCTACCCCAGCCGAAGAGATTCCAGTCCTGTGGCTTCCATGCAGCTAGCAACGAGTTAAAATCTCCATTCTATTCATGGCCCAGTGTTCTCTACTCACCCACTATATTTCTCTCTCTGTGAGTTTAATTCTCTCTCTCTCTCCCAAGCTCTGATCATTAATCAAGGCTGCACTGGGAGATGGGGTGGGGGGTGGGGAGTTTGCATGAATTTTAAAAATAAAGGTTGCTACTGAAGTCGAGGAATTCTTTCGCCCAGCTTGGGGGAGGGAGGGGCTACTGCCTTGACAATATGTGTAAGAGTATTTAAAAAGATTTGCATGATGTTAGAGGGGGAATCGGCAGAGATTAAGGAAAGATATATTAGGAATAACTTGGGTGTGAGGTGTTGTGGGTTTATTTTGGTTCTTGATCCAAAGCCTGAGAAGGTTCCTGTGCTTTTTATAAGTGCAACCTTGTGTACATCTTGTTTGTGGATTAGGAGTTGCCAACAGGATGCCCAAGGGCACCAATATGCCCGCGTATATCACTTATGGCAGGGGCAGCAAACTTTTTCAGCAGGGGGCCGGTCCACTGTCCCTCAGAACTTGTGGGGGGCCAGACTATATTTTTTTTTGGGGGGGTGAACGAATTCCTATGACCCACAAATAACCCAGAGATGCATTTTAAATAAAAGCACACATTCTACTCATGTAAAAACACGCTGATTCCCGGACCATCCGTGGCCCAGATTTGGAAGGCGATTGGGCCGGATCCGGGCCCTGGGCCTTAGTTTGCCTACCCATGACCTATGACATGCATGAAAGCTCTCCATGAATATCCCTTAAAAATCCACAATGCATTACGTATCAGGTTGTGCTGTGAGCCATCAGGCTCAAACTCTGGTCTCTTGGCAATGGGGCTGGGGCACCTTACTCCTTCAACCCCAGTATGGCAGGTAAAACAGAAGCTATGGCTTTTCTAACCTTAGCAGTTCCGCAGCGGCAGCGCTGCAGGTGGTCAGGTACTGCGCTCCCAAAACCCTACAGGGGTCAGGTGGCACGAGGTACCAATTTGGGTGCCAAAACAGCACTATAAAGTGGTGGTGTCCTGGAGAAGTCCAGACCACTCTCTCACTTTGTAACCTGTGGGGCCGGCCATCGCCTTCAGGCCACCAGAACCCAAATGCCTACAAAATGGTAGAGGCAGACTGTTATGTACTGAAGTTCTCACCCTGGGCCAGCCGGGGGATACTGTAGATAGTTCAGGTCCACATATGCAAATAAGGGATCGAAAGTGATTGGATCAGTGATTGGATAGTTACAGAAAGTTGTTACAGTTACGATGTACTGGAGCTCTATATAAGCAGGCTGGCTGAACCCTTCAGTTCAGTTCTGTTCTGGCCTCTGAATAAACAAGAGCTGTTTGGAGAATTGCTGTGTCGTCTGATATATGGCGGGAGAGCTAAGATGGCGGCGCAAGCACTTGCAGCGGCTCGGCACTCCGAAGACCGGTATTCAGTGATTTGTGTTTTATTTTTATTTGTGAACTTATTGCTGCTAGGGACTGTGAATACTCAGGCACAAGTAATTTATAGTCGTCAAGAGCTCTTAAGTATCGGCAGAGGAGAAGGTTGCAGCCAGGAGGTCTCAACCTATAACATTCCAGCTGAGCTTATCAGAGAGCCTCCATATTTTGCACATTCTTGGGATACTCCCCTTGCTCTCCTTGCCAGAAAGAAAAGAAAACGGAGGGCGCAAGCAGAAGAGGGGTTGCAGGGCTGGTCTACGAGTGAGGCTAGGTAAAAATCCCCACAAGCCTGCATTGCCAAGTCTCCTTGTATCAAATGTGAGATCCTTACCCAACAAGGTAGAGGAGTTGGAACTTATTACCTCTCGGCAGAAAAGTATCCGGGACTGCTGTGTTATGGTCCTTCTAGAGACGTGGCTGGATCCCTCCTTTCCACAGGGACTTCTGCAGCTAGAAGGACGCTCAGTAATTAGAGCGGATAGAACCGCCGAATCCGGGAAGAGCAGAGGAGGAGGAATTTGCGTTTATATAAATAACAACTGGAGCTCGGACATCAAACAAATGGACACGCATTGCTCTCCTGACTTGGAGTACCTAGTGGTGAAGTGCCGCCCTTTTTATTTGCCACGTGAGTTTAATGTTGTTATAATAACAGCGGTGTATATACCTCCCGATGCAAACACTACTACAGCTATGGGCCACCTGCTAACTAGCAGTTAGCAGGTGGCCCACCCGGATGGAGCATTTGTGGTTGCTGGTGATTTTAACCGAGCCGATTTAAGAACTGTGCTCCCTAAGTTCCACCAGTATGTTGATTGTCCCACTAGGGGGGGAAATACCCTGGACCGAGTATATAGTAACATCATGCATGGATACAAGACCAAGCCCTTGCCCAATTTGGGGCAGTCAGACCACATATCTTTACTTATGATACCATCATATAGACCTCTCAGTACGCAGAATTAGACCATCAACTAGAGAGATACGAGTGTGGCCAGTAGGTGCATCTGAGCAACTTCAAGATTGCTTTCGGAGCACCGAGTGGTCGCTCTTTGTGGAGAATAATGTGGACACATACGCTTCAACAGTACTGTTCTACGTTAAAAGCTGCATTGATGTTGTCACTACCACCAAACAAATACGGGTGTTCCCTAACAACAAGCCCTGGCTAAACAGGGATGTGTATCTTCTGTTAAAGGCAAGAAATGCTGCTTTTCACTCTGGTGATGCGCAACAGTATAGAAGCCAGAGCCAAATTGAAAAAGGGCATTAGGAACGCCAAAGCTATGTACTGCCGGAGGATCGAAAAACATTTTGAGAGCTCCGACCCTCGTCAGTATGGCAAGGCCTGCGACAAATTACAGGGCAAAATATTAAAAACGAACTGGCTAGCAGCAGTGCGCACCTGGCTGATCAACTGAATCAATTTTTTAGTCGCTTTGAGGTGGGAACTGGAACTACCGTCACTACAGCATTGGCTACCAGCACATCATCAGAAACTACTACTGATAGACAACCATTTTTATTACAGACCTGTGACGTACAACGTGCCTTCTGGAGCATTGACATTAGGAAGGCAGCTGGACTGGATGGAATCATGGGACGGGCTATTAGGGACTGCGCTGCAGAATTAGCTGGTGTGTTTACGGACATTTTTAATCTATCCCTGTTGCAGGGTTCTGTCCCTACCTGCCTGAAGACATCGATTATAGTGCCAGTCCCCAAGCAGTCAGTGGTGGTATCTCTCAATGACTATAGACCAATAGCCTTAACATCTGTCGTTATGAAATGTTTTGAGAGATTGGTGCTAGATCATATTAAGGCTGGTCTTCCATCCACTCTAGACCCGTTCCAGTTTGCATACAGAAGAAATAGATCTACTGATGATGCTATTTCCATCGCTGTCCATACTGTACTGAGTCATCTAGAACGACAGGGAACCTACGCAAGGCTGTTGTTTGTGGACTACAGTTCTGCCTTCAATACAATTCTGCCAGACAGGTTATTTCTTAAAATGACCAATTTGGGTATACATCAGAAGATCTGTCTGTGGGTAAGGAATTTCCTGACTGATAGGCCGCAGACAGTGAGAATGGGCCCTTACTATTCTTCTACTCTAGTATTAAGCACAGGAGCCCTCAGGGATGTGTGCTAAGTCCCTTTCTCTATTCCCTGTACACATTTGATTGCACCCACTGTATGAGTCCAACACAATCATCAAATTTGCGGATGATACAACAGTGGTGGGGCTCATTAGTGAGAACGATGAGACTGCTTATAGGAAAGAAGTACAGGGGTTAATTCAATGGTGTAAAGAAAACAATCTTATGCTTAACACCAAAAAAACCAAAGAACTCATAATTGACTTTAGGAGAAAGAAAAGCGTATTTTTACCATTGCACATAAATGGCGAGGAGGTGGAGAGGGTTGGTAGTTTTAAATACCTGGGCACTTACATCTCTGAGGACCTCTCATGGACTGTAAATATTAATATGGTTGTGAGGAAGGTGCAGGGGAGGTTGTATTTCCTGAGAATGCTCAGGGGACTGAATCTATCTCAGCACCTACTTCTGTCCTATTATCACAGTACCATCGAGAGTGTCTTAACATATAGTATATTATCGTGGTATGGGAGCAGCTCTGAAACGGATAAAAAGCTTTACAGAGAATAATTAAAATTGCCCAGAATGTTATTGGGCTCCAACTACCAACCCTGGATGAGATCTTCACGTCTCGCACTTTGAAGAAGTCACACAATATCCTGAGAGATCCCACCCATCCTGCTCACAACTTCTTTGAACTGTTGCCTTCGGGCAGAAGATATAGGACAATGAAAACACGAACCACACGCCTTCTGAATAGTTTCTATCCAAGAGCTCTGATTGCACTAAATAATGATCTCAGGGCCAGTTGCAAGAAATAGCAAGCAGGGAGTAGGAAGGAATGAGACAGGTTTTAGGTTATGTTATGCTTTTAATAGGTTATGTTACATTCTGGAGTATGATATGTTTTTATAGATTATGTCTGAATAGGATGAGAGTGTTGGAGATACGTGCAAATGTGTATGTGAACCCGGTCTTCGAGTGGGTGTTTGATTTTCGTTGTTGTGTATACTGTGTATATACGGACAATGACAATAAATTTTTTTTTTTTTTTTTTTAATCATTATCATTTATCATTATATGTTCACCCACAACTTAACACAGACAATCCAAGACTAAGTCCACCCAAGTTTGGAGGTGGGGGAGGCCTGTCCCATTGACTGTGGGTTTTCCTTTTGGAGCTGGTTCTGGTGTCACCGAAGGCTGTCACCCGATATAGATCTGTGGATGCTACATGAAATGAAATGGTGCCAAAGAGAAGAGTCCAACCTTCAGCAGAAGCAGGCACCATCCTATGATGCCAGGGACTCCAGGCCGAAACCTCTCCTCGCGTGACTCCTTGGCTGCTGCCCCACCATGATGGATCGAGTTTTGCTTTGAAGGCCTTGGACGAAAGGACAGTTCTGCAGTGCTCCGACCTTGTTACATATTCAGGCCTTGAAGTCAGCCGGCCTGCTGAGCTGTTTGGAGCAAAGGCTACTCAGCGGGGCAGAAAAGCGAGGCAGCTGCGGCTGGAAGGCATCCGTCTTCTTTACGAGAGGTAAGGTGGCCGTGCGATATGCTTTATAGGGTGCAGCCCTCCATCTGAAGAGATGTCTGGCTCAAGAGTTCAATTTAAAATCAGTCGGTAGAGCACGGAACTCCTAATCTCAGGGTTGTGGGTTTGATCCCCATGTTGAGCAAAAGATTCCTGCATTGCTGGGGTGACCTTTGGGGTGCCTTCTATGATTCCATGAAAATCAAGAACCCTAAGGGAGAGCAGGAGGGGCATTGAAGGTGCCCATCATCAACAGGTAGCCAGCACCTGGATGCAAGGGCATAGCCAGGGGGGCAGCTGCCCCCCCTCCAGATCAATGGCACTGATTAAACCACGCCAGTTCATTCATTCCCCCTTTTTATTTGTATTCTGCTTTTCCACACGCAAAATCGTGCTCAAAGCAGCTTACAAAGAATCGCAAACAAATCAGGTACGCTTTTCAAACAAACACTACAAAAGCAATTTCATAATAAAATAGTAACAGTTGCATAAAGGTAAAGGGACCCCTGACCATTAGGTCCAGTCGTGACCGACTCTGGGGTTGCGGCGCTCATCTTGATTTAGTGGCCGAGGGAGCTGGCGTACAGCTTCCGGGTCGTGGCCAGCATGACTAAGCCACTTCTGGCGAACCAGAGCAGCGCATGGAAACGCTGTTTACCTTCCCGCCGGAGCGGTACCTATTTATCTACTTGCACTTTGACGTGCTTTCGAACTGCTAGGTTGGCAGGAGCAGGGACCGAGCAACGGGAGCTCACCCCGTCATGGGGATTCGAACTGCCGACCTTCTGATCGGCAAGTCCTAGGCTCTGTGGTTTAACCCACAACGCCACCCGCGTCCCTAACAGTTGCATAGCAACATCCAAACAACAACAGATATAATAACATGTAAAACACACACACACCCATATTTGAATACTATAGCAAGGTGACTTTGCTGCATCCAACATGCAGCAAAAATAACAAGGGAGCTTCACAGTTTTACCTTCGTCCTAGAAACACCCCTCCCATGATGGTAAACCATAGGCTCACTTCGTCCAGCATTCTCCTTCCACCAGAGGTCAGCCTGACAGCTTTCAAAAAGTCCACGAGCAAGTAAGGTATGCTGCAGGTGAGGGCAAACTGCTGCCTTCTGGATGTTGGAGATGGAGGAGAAATGTATTTTAAATGGTTTAATGTGCAGACTTCGGCAGTGCTGACCTGATAAGCTTAGCTCATCACCGACTGTCTCTTGTATCAAGTAGTGCCTGTTTGTGTCTGTCTTTTTTTTTTTTAAAGAATATTTATTCCAATTTTAAGATTACAGAAAAAGAAAAAAGTAAAAAAGAAAAACAAATCACATACATCCTACAAATCACATACATCCTACAAGAAAAACACACAATACAAAGAAAAATACACAAGACAAAAAATCACAATAACAAAGTAACAAAAAAAATCAAATTAAACCATTAGAACCATTTTCCCATTTACTTATTTCCGTGACTTCCTCTCACTTCTCTGCTTTGTATTCTAATTCAAATCGTATCTCCAGCAAATCCTTCTAACCTTCTTTTCATTTACTTATTTTAACATTCAAAAATATTTAATTCTCCTCTATCTTTTACACCTCATATTTACTTATTCCATTATACTCTGTCTGCCAATACGGTCTAATATTCTTCTCCAACCTTTTCTAACATTCTTTTATATTACAGTATTTCTGAAGATATGTTTTAAATTTTTCCAATCTTCTTCCATCGACCCTTCTTCCTGATCTCGAATTCTGCCGGTCATCTCAGCCAGTTCCATATAGTCTATCACTTTTCTCTGCCATTCTTCTCGGGTGGGCAATTCTTGTGTCTTCCAGTATTTCCCAATGAGTATTCTTGCTGCTGCTGTCGCATACATAAAGAAATTCCTGTCTTCCCTTCGCACCAATTGACCGACCATGCCCAAGAGGAAGGCCTCTGGTTTCTTCAAGAAAGTATATTTCAATACCTTTTTTAGTTCATTATATATCATTTCCCAGAAGGCCTTGATCTTTGGGCACGTCCACCAAAGGTGAAAAAAAGTACCTTCATTTTCTTTACATTTCCAACATTTATTATCAGGCAAATGATAAATGTGCCTGTTTGTGTCTCAGCAGATCCCATGGGCATCTGAAGAACAGGTTGCTGCGCTGGGCGGCCCATTGGCCAGATCCAACAATGCTCTTCATATGCTCTTACTGGTTGCGTTTTTTAAAAAAGCAAAAGCCCGACCAATTATATGCAAAGTACTCATGTGATAGGTATGAAATTTGTGCAGCCCCATGCTAGGCTACATTTTCTTTAGCATAAAAGGTAAATGGGATGCGGGTGGCACTGTGACGCTAAACCACTGAGCCTCTTGGGCTTGCCAATCAGAAGGTCGGTGGTTCGAATCCCCGCAACAGGGTGAGCTCCCGTTGCTTGGTCCCAGCTCCTGCCAACCTAGCAGTTTGAAAGCACACCAGTGCAAGTAGATCAATAGGTACTGCTGTCGCAGGAAGGCAAACGGCATTTCCGTGCGCTCTGGTGGTGTCCCGTTGCACCAGAAGCTGTTTAGTCAAGCTGGCCACATGACCCGGAAAGCTGTCTGTGGACAAACACCAGCTCCCTCGGCCTGAAAGCGAGATGAGCGCCGCAACCCTATAGTCGCCTTTGACTGGACTTAATTGTCTAGGGGTCCTTTACCTTTTTAAAAACCTCTTCAGCATAACTTTATATTAATATATATGTATTTATATAAATGTCGCGGGTGGCGCTGTGGGTAAAACCTCAGCGCCTAGGACTTGCTGATCGTATGGTCGGCGGTTCGAATCCCCACGGCGGGGTGAGCTCCCGTCGTTCGGTCCCAGCTCCTGCCCACCTAGCAGTTCGAAAGCACTCTTAAGTGCAAGTAGATAAATAGGTACCGCTTTATAGCGGGAAGGTAAACGGCGTTTCCGTGTGCGGCCCTGATGCTGGCTCGCCAGCTGCAGCTTCGTCACGCTGGCCACGTGACCCGGAAGTTTCTTCGGATGGCGCCGGCTCACGGCCTATAGAGCGAGATGAGCACGCAACCCTAGAGTCTGGCAAGACTGGCCCGTACGGGCAGGGGTACCTTTACCTTTACCTTATTTATATAAATATATGCATTATTGTATGTATCTGTTTATGTGCTGGTTGTTTTAGGGAACCTGGAGTGTGTATTCATATAATTTACATAGACTATAGTTTGTAAGATAATGCATACAGTGGTGCCCTGCAAGACGAATGCCTCGCAAGACGGAAAACCCGCTAGACGAAAGGGTTTTCCGTTTTGGAGGTGCTTCGCAAAACGAATTTCCTATGGGCTTGCTTCGCAAGTTCCTGCGGGGTTTTTTTCCTCCCCCCCCTTTTTCCCAAGCCGCTAAGCTGCTTATCAGCTGATCCATTAAGCCACTAAGCCGCTTAACAGCTGATCGCTAAGCCCGCTAAGCCGCTAATAGCGCTAATCTGCTAAACCGCTAATGGGCTTGCTTCGCAAGACGAAAAAACCGCAAGACGAAGAGACTCGCGGAACGGATTCTTTTCGTCTTGCGAGGCACTACTGTATATGAGAATGGGTCATATTTTTAACAGAACTAGTGGTGGATGGGGGTTGGAATGACTCACTTAATTCTCAGGATGAAGTAGTGAGACAATTTAGGAAAAAGAACCATGCAGATAAGCTGGACATCAAGATTTCCAGGACCTTGCATCCTGAGCTAAATCTCCCATCATCCCTGGCCATTGGCCATGCTGGCTGAAGCCGATGTGAGCTGCAGTTTGACAATATCTGGAGGGCCACAGGTTCTCCATGCCTATATATTTGACCCAATCCTTTGCTTATAGTGGAACTCAAGAGTTGCTGAGCTCTAATGTTATATCATTCGCTAATCCTTAGGTATTGAAGTTCTCACCCTGGCCACCAGGAGTATCGTGTATATAGTTTTCACTCAGGTCCACGTCAGTTATTTTAGGCGGGAAACCCTGGGTTGTTGTTGCTACAATGTTGACAGCCGGCTGCCTATAAAAGCAGGCCGGCTGAGCTGTTTGCTGTTCAGTTCTGTTCCAGCTTACAAATAAAGAGCTGCTTTGGAAGAATCGCTGTGTCGTCTGATATGTTCGCCCACAACTTAACTCTGGCGACGAGGATGGGATCGATGGACAACAGAGCACAGCCAGATGCGGCCACCCTCTGAGATGAGCTGAATCACGGAGCTGAAACACTGAGCGAAATCACAGAGTAGAACCAATTCAGAGCTGACTGTTCTGGCTAGAGCACAGTGTTCCATCCATCGCCCTCCATGCCGGCATCGGAACCATGGCTTCACTCATGCCTCTACCGCCGTTTGCCCCAGCCTCTGAATCATGGGACTCCTACCTCGCTCGGTTTGACTGCTACCTCCAAGCAAATGAGCTGACAAGAGGGTCTGTAGAGCAGAAGCGGGGCCTCTCCTCAGCCTTTGTGGCCCCGAAGCGTTCGCGACGGCCCGAGCATTGGTTGTGCCTCTAGCAGTCCAGGCAGCACCTTGGGACACGATTCAAGAGAAGCTCCGCAACCACTACGCCCCAAAGCCATCCAAGATTGCTGCCCGCCGTGCGTTCTACCACCGGAACCAGGCAGAGGGAGAGTCAATTAACAACTACACCGCCGCCCTCCAACAGGCTGCAGTGCGCTGCGAGTTCCGAGACTTAGACGATGCCCTGATGGATCGAATCGTCTGCGGGGTCCGGGACATCCGTCTGCAACGGCATCTCCTTGCCAAGCCAGACCTCACGCGGCAGAAAGCCACTGAGGAGGCCGTGGCCTCAGAAGCTGTTCAACTCTCCACCCAGGAAATCCACAAGGCCAGTAGACCATATTTAAAGGACTATGTTGTTGGACATGTAACACTGTTGGTCTAATGGAAGTATGTGAAATGTAACTGATATGCTTTTGTGCCTAATTGAACCATTACGTGTAGTGCTGTATATAAGGAAACCATTACGATTGTAACTAACCCCTTATCTCGGTGGGGAGGGGTGTTATGTATTGCAGTTCTCACCCTGGCCACCAGGAGTATCGTGTATGTAGTTTTCACTCAGGTCCACGTCAGTTATTTTAGGCGGGAAACCCTGGGATGTTGTTGCTACAACGTTGACAGCCGGCTGCCTATAAAAGCAGGCTGGCTGAGCTGTTTGCTGTTCAGTTCTGTTCCAGCTTACAAATAAAGAGCTGCTTTGGAAGAATCGCTGTGTCGTCTGATATGTGCGCCCACAACTTAACACTAATGTTCTTATTTGGGGTGCAGTGTGTGGTGGTTCTCAAACCTTTCCCCCCTCTGTGGATCATTTGAAAAATTCTACTGGTCTTTCTGGCAACTTAATAAGTCTCCCTCCACCCCTGCTGTGTTTTGACATCATTGTCAAAACTGAGGCCACTGAGAAAGGCCCCTTAATAACTGGCAAACTTTTTCTTAAACAATCCAGCAGAAAAGTCAGCAGCCACTAGGCCCTTGACCACCTTTGGGCCACTAGGCCCTTGACCCTAACCCTAACCTTCTCCTGACAGCAGAGGGACACGGCAAAGGGATAGTATCCACAGTATACAAAATACTGCTTCAAAATCCGACAAACCCCCTTGATGCAATCAAAGAACAATGGAAGGACAACATAAGCTACGAAATTAACCCCACCCAATGGACTAGAATGTGGTCTAAACCTCAATTTAAGTCTATATCAGCCAAAAGAAGGGAGCTCACTCTGAAATTCACCTACACGTGGTACTTTACACAACGAAAACTGGCGCTGATACGCCCAGGAACCTCACCAAGATGTTGGAGAGGCTGCACCTCCACAGGCACATCCCTCCACATGTGGTGGGAATGCCCTAAAATCCAACCCTTCTGGACAGCAGTCCTACAAGAGATATGCAAAAGAACTAAACATGTATGAGAACTCACCCCAGAACTGGCCCTACTGAACAACTTCCAAGATCATAATGACCACTCACATTATGCAGAGCTCATAACCCACCTACTCTCAGCATCCAGAAGCCTCATAGCCAGACACTGGAGAGACCAGTCAGGAGTAAATAGGGACCAATGGGAAATGGCCTTAATAGAAAAGCTAGCCAATAAACTGAAGCTGACACAGAGACAAATAGAAGAGGATGCCTTCACCCCAGTAGGGCTCCCCTTTATCACATGTACAGCCCAATAAGACAACAACAAGAATCCACCAACAGCATATGAATCAATCTGACTTTGTTGTTGTTGTTTAGTCGTTTAGTCGTGTCCGACTCTTCGTGACCCCATGGACCAGAGCACGCCAGGCACTCCTGTCCTCCACTGTCTCCCGCAGTTTGGTCAAACTCATGAGCGACAGTGGCTGGCCCCCGGTCATACAGTGAGCTTCGTAGCAAGTGAGGGTGTGGCCCCTGGTCTCCCAAGTCAAAGTCCAGTCTTTACCAAAGGTGTCATGGACTTTGAAGACGCCCAAACTCAGGGCGAAAGGGAGAAACATGCTAAGAGGAAGGCACGCTTGGCAAACCCCTCACCATGATCAACTCCTGCCCGGAAACTTATGTCCCCACTGTGGAAGGACGTGTGGATCCAGAATTGGCCTCCACAGTCACTTACGGACTCAATGTTAAGACCGTGTTCATGGAAGACAACCTTACTCCTCTACAAGGGATCGCCAAAGAGGAAATTCGACACTCTGATCACTACACCACACTGACTCTCAGGATGTGAACTGAAACACAGCTATTCTTCAAAGTTCGCCATTGTCCAAATTTTGCAATGAGTTTCTCCAGCAAAGTAGGCATCTGAAGGCAGCCCTGGTTAGGGAAGTTTTTGTTAGGATATTTCCGTTCCACCTTAAAAGGGAGCAGGCTTTGTGAGTCAGAGTCTGCGTATTTCCTGTTCACAGGATGTTTATGTTTTTCTGTTGCTTTCGTTTTCTCTCTGTGTGTCGTAGACACTAAAGCAGGCAGTCATGTTTTTCTGTGTTCTGATCAACGCTGAATAAACTTGTAAATAATGCTCTCCTGAGTGCAACTTTTGGCTGTGCATTATCTGCTGATAGAGTGTGCATGAGCTCTGGAATGTGGCAAGATATTTTCTAGAAACTCATGTCGCTGCGTGCCTACGGGAGGTCGATGGATCGTCTGGCAGACGGCTTGGGGGCCTTGATGGTCTTTATCTCCCTGGCAGTATCCCAACAGTTTTTAATGTTTAATGCTGTATTGTGTTTTTAACATTCGGTTGGGAGCCGCCCAGAGTGGCATGGGGAACCCAGCCAGATGGGTGGATTATTATTATTATTATTATTATTATTAATATTTTAAAAGTAGCACATCAAAAGATACATATCCAAAGTGTCCTATAAATGCATATAAGTTAGTGAAAATATCATACAAAAATGCATTGCTTTCTGGGAAACTGCTATGCAACGATGTATATATTGGGGGGAGGCATTCAAAGATATTGGGAGAAATTTACTCTAAAATCATGAAGATCTTCATGAGGGCTTTTTTTAAAAAAAAAGCAAACTGATGCAGAAATGTGAAGAACTGAATTTAAGATAGGAAAGACGAGAAACCAAAAGTGACACATCCACTCCTGTCCCTTTGTGAAGCTGTGGCTCAGAGATTTCTTCCCTGATCATTGACCAACTGTGGCACTTGCTGGGAAGAAGTTGTTCCGAAATGTGGATTGTTTGGTTGGCTCCCCCCTAACCCCCATTTAAGTAAACTTCAGACATTTCCACTCCTGCAATAATCAAAATAAAATAGCAGTGGAATTGCCCAGCGCCCAGCGGTGGGATTTTGATCCCATTCCCAGCACCTGCCAGTTGAAGGATGCCTCCCCTGATCTATTAATAATACAGTTGGCGGCAATGGTTATCCATCACAGTGATTGATTTATTATTAGGTAAGAGGGCCGTCGAGATGGATTGTGAAAATTACATGTCTGCCAATACATTCTCCTGGCTGGATTTGGAGCTTGCTTACAGTGGTTTTACATCTGCTGAGACTCCCATTTCTCCAGTGGAGTTACTAGAGATGTAAGGGAGGCAAGGGCAGGGGGGGGCGGAGGGGCAGGGGAACCAAAAACCTAAGAAGAAGCCTGTTGGATAATGCCAAAGGTATATCTACTAGCCCAGCACTGTTCACTCAGTTGGTGCTGATAATGCCAAGGTCACAGGTTTGATCGTCATATGTGACAGCTGCTTCTTCCTGCATTGAAGGGGCTTGGACCACATGATCTTCAGGGTCATGGGTCAGTGCTAGGTTTGATCCTCAGCATCTCCAGGCAGGGCTCAGCAGTCATGAGGCCCCAGTGCATGCCCAATCCCGCGGCCGGTGTCATCCGAACTCCCTAAAGCCCCTTCTCCCTCTCTCCCTTTTGCAGACATTCTGGTTGAGCGAGGGGCAAACCCCACATTGATTCTCTTCCATCGACTTGGCTCCCTGCTTACCTCAGAAGGAATCGGCAACCGCGCCAGTGCCGTCCTTCCCAGAGACTTGGCGTGTGAAACCAGCTGGGTGGCCATTTTCAAAGGAAACTTCTAATTACGAGCTTGAGGATCAATACGCTAATTAGGAACCAATGAAAGCCACCTGTCTGTGATAAACAAGTCCTGGAAGGTGTTCATTGGGATTTAATTACAATCGATAAGTCCCCAATACCCCAGAGGTGAAGGGTGTGCTTTAGAAGAGATTAAGAACATATCAAAACCACCTCCCGAGCCAAGAGCCTTTGTTTCCTCTGGAGAGGGTCATGTTTAGGACACACAAGCACACACTCACACGCATCTAGGAAGCGGTCTGGGGTTTTTTACTTCACTAGGGGGACAAGAAGTTCTTCCTTCTGGGAGCCCAGCTAAGCGAAACAGTGCAATGCACGGAAATGTCACGGATGGGCTTGAAACTCATTGACATCTATGGGGCTCAAGCTGACACAATTATGCCAGTAATTCCCAAAACTGCATGCCATGAAAAAGAAATAGATCAAACAAGGAACAGCTCCTGCGACACATGCACAGACACACACACACCCCAAACAAAATAAAGCAGTCTCACTGCATTGTCTCAGAACAATTCATTGCTCTGACCTTCCATTCAGCAGCTTCCACTGGGTAATTCTTCTGCCTCTGAATCATTTAGTCACTTTCAATGCAGAAGCACATAGGAATCTCCTGCAGTCAAAGGAGGGTGGCGGTTGTGTCTCTCAATGAGTCACTGCACTCCGCTTCCATCTTCCCAAACATGAGGCATGCCCAGAACAGTGACTCGTGTACATACACAGGGGGCTAGTTCCTCCAAAGGTTTTTAATTCTTAGAATCATAGAATCATAGAGTTGGAAGAGACCACAAGGGCCATCGAGTCCAACCCCCTGCCAAGCAGGAAACACCATCAGAGCACTCCTGACATATGGTTGTCAAGCCTCTGCTTAAAGACCTCCAAAGAAGGAGACTCCACCACACTCCTTGGCAGCAAATTCCACTGTCGAACAGCTCTTGCTGTCAGGAAGTTCTTCCTAATGTTTAGGTGGAATCTTCTTTCTTGTAGTTTGGATCCATTGCTCCGTGTCCGCTTCTCTGGAGCAGCAGAAAACAACCTTTCTCCCTTCTCTATGTGACATCCTTTTATATATTTGAACATGGCTATCATATCACCCCTTAACCTCCTCTTCTCCAGGCTAAACATGCCCAGCTCCCTTAGCCGTTCCTCATAAGGCATCGTTTCCAGGCCTTTGACCATTTTGGTTGCCCTCCTCTGGACACGTTCCAGTTTGTCAATGTCCTTCTTGAACTGTGGTGCCCAGAACTGGACACAGTACTCCAGGTGAGGTCTGACCAGAGCAGAATACAGTGGCACTATTACTTCCCTTGATCTAGATGCTATACTCCTATTGATGCAGCCCAGAATTGCATTGGCTTTTTTAGCTGCCGCGTCACACTGTTGGCTCATGTCAAGTTTGTGGTCAACCAATACTCCTAGATCCTTTTCACATGTACTGCTCTCAAGCCAGGTGTCACCCATCTTGTATTTGTGCCTCTCATTTTTTTTGCCCAAGTGCAATACTTTACATTTCTCCCACTTACTCTTTCCCACTCTAAAAGCAAAGCCTATTTGGATGCAGTTATAGAGGGTGCCACCCATTTTAATTCAGGGGAGAGAGGTGTAGCGTTGGCTACCTGATGTTTGTGAACTTATACATTTTGATCCCATTATTTCACTGGGATTTCAACCCTGGTCGCTATTCAACATTTCTTCCTGAACTGCAGTGGGAGAGCCAGGAAGCAGAGCTCACACCACCGGCTCTGCTGTGACAGGCCACCCCCATCAGGCCTCTTCTCCCCATAGCTGTCATCTAGGGGCAGCCATTCCACCAGACAACTTCAGAGAGAGAGGGAGGAAGCTGGGCTCACTCCATCAGTTTGCTTGAGGCCCAGCCTCCTGTCCCTGAACTGGTCAATATAGGGACAACCATTTAGAAACTGATGCCCGAGTTTTGGTTTTTGCCTTTCCTCTTCCCTCCCTGTCCCTTTCCCCTTGTGTGCTGTTTTTGTTTTTTTAGATTTTAAGCCTGCAGGTAGGGACTGTCTCCTTTTTTTTAATTATTCCATGAGAGCTTCTCTGGGATGCTCTCCAGGTGAAGAGCGGGCTACAAATCCTCTAAATAGATATATAAACTAGCAAACAGTAAAATTATAAAATACTTCTGTAGCCCATCCAGGCTCTGTAGGTGAGGATGACTAGAAAAGTCTAATAATAATAATAATAATAATAATAATAATAATAATAATAATGTTGTTGTTGTTTAGTCGTGTCCGACACTTTGTGACCCCCTGGACCAGAGAACGCCAGGCCTCCCGCAGTTTGGTCAAACTCATGCTGGTAGCTTCGAGAACACTGTCCAACCATCTCGTCCTCTGTTGTCCCCTTCTCCTTCCGCCCTCCATCTTTCCCAACATCAGGGTCTTTTCCAGGGAGTCTTCTCTTCTCATGAGGTGGCCAAAGTCTTGGAGCCTCAGCTTCAGGATCTGTCCTTCCAGTGAGCACTCAGGGCTGATTTCCTTAAGAATGGATAGGTCTGATCATCTTGCAGTCCATGGGACTCTCAAGAGTCTCCTCCAGAACAATAATTCAAAAGCATCCATTCTTCGGCGATCAGCTTTCTTTATGGTCCAGCTCTCACTTCCATACATCACTACTGGGATAACCATAGCTTTAACTATACGGACCTTGGTCGGCAAGGTGATGTCTCTGCTTTTTAAGATGCTGTCTAGGTTTGTCATTGCTTTTCTCCCAAGAAGCAGGTGTCTTTTAATAATAGCTTAATTCTTTGTAGACAGAACCAGAGGTTTCCCAAAGGACATCATTATTCAGTCTCCAAGCCAGAAACCACAGATGAAATCAAGGGCGGAGCCATCGGCACATTATCCCCCACCCTACCCCAACTGGCTTGGACTGAACATTGCCCATCAATAGGGCTGGGGCTCCTGTTAGCCCCTCCCATTCCCACCACCAGCTGGGCCTCCTCTCTTGCTGCTTCCACCTCCCAAGGACCTGACCTCTGCTGTGCCTTTCTCTTGTGTTAAGTGTAAGAATTTCAAAGGGGTCCTTCTCCATCAGCAAATCAAAAGCCCAAACAGAGCGGGAAGGAAAGGGCTGGAACCAACACGCACCCCCACAGCTGTGGCCCATTTAAAAGCCTTTGAAAACCTTTTGTTTTCAAGAAGGATGCCGCAATGCCTGTGTACAGTATATGGATGCAAACATATGTATATATGGGCTTACTCCCTCATTCGCACACTTTCCCACACTGTCTCCTGGAGCAGAAGGTCACAAACTGTGGTCCGTGTTCCATGGAAAAATTGTAGTACAGTCAAGAAAATTTGTACTTGACTCATTTTTTTTATTCTGATAATGGAAAATGCCCTTTGGGCCAGGACCAGATTTAGTGAACAGAGTAACAAAGCCCAGACCCGTGGTTATATATATATATATATATATATATATATATATATATATATCCCGCCCATCTGGCTGGGTTTCCCCAGCCACTCTGAGCGGCTCCCAACAGAATGATAATGATGATGATGATGATAATAACAATAAAGCAATAAAACATCAAACATTAAAAACTTTCCTAAACAGGGCTGCCTTCAGATGTTTTCTAAAAATCAGATAGTTGTTTATCTCCTTGACATCTGGAGGGAGGGCGTTCCATAGGGTGGGTGCCACTACCGAGAAGGCCCTCTGCCTGGTTCCCTGTAACCTCACTTCTCACAATGAGGGAACCGCCAGAAGGCCCTCGGAGCTGGACCTCAGTGTCCGGGCTGAATGATGGGGGTGGAGATGTGCTTCTTAATACAACATGGGTGGAGTCCACTACATTTCCTTAAAACTTTACCAGTTTTTTTAAAATTAATTTTTATTAAAGATTTTCTTGGTTTATGAAAGCATATACCTTGTCTCTTTTTATCAGGTTGTACAGTCTTTCTTACAAATCAGTTACCTTTGTTGTGAGGCATAAGGTTGGGGAAGAAGGGGGTAAGAGCGGGGGGAGGCTTATATTCTTTTGTATAGTGTATGTGCGGGGTTTTGTGTCAGCGTCAGCTGGGTAGATTCTCTTTCTATTTGTTTATTATATTTCCTTGGTAATGAGAGATATTGAGGGGCAAGGTGGGTTGGTTGTCTGTGGTTGACTGCAGCGGGGTTTGTTTGCATTTGTGAGGGGGGAGGACTTGTTGGGCCAGATAAGTCAGATTGGAAGAATTGATGCTTTTGAATTCTGGTGCTGGAGGAGACTCTTGAGAGTCCCATGGACTGCAAGAAGATCAAACCTCTCCATTCTTAAGGAAACCAGCCCTGACTGCTCACTGGAAGGACAGATCCTGAAGCTGAGGCTCCAAGACTTTGGCCACCTCATGAGAAGAGAAGACTCCCTGATGTTGGGAAAGATGGAGGGCACAAGGAGAAGGGGACGACAGAGGACGAGATGGTGGGACAGTGTTCTGGAAGCTACCAGCATGAGTTTGACCAAACTGCGGGAGGCAGTGGAAGACAGGAAGAAGAAGAGTTTGGATTTGATATCCCGCCTTTCACTCCCTTTTTAAGGAGTCTCAAAGCGGCTAACATTCTCCTTTCCCTTCCTCCCCCACAACAAACACTCTGTGAGGTGAGTGGGGCTGAGAGACTTCAAAGAAGTGTGACTGGCCCAAGGTCACCCAGCGGCTGCATGTGGAGGAGCGGAGACGCAAACCCGGTTCACCAGATCACAAGGCTACCACTCTTAACCACTACACCACACTGGCGTGCTCTGGTCCATGGGTCACGAAGAGTCGGACACAGCTAAACGACTAAACAACAACAACAAAAAAGGGGCAGCTTATATTATTGACATGCTTACCTGCCCTCCTTTGGGAGGAAGGGAGGACAGTAAAAAAAAACAAAACTAAAAAATAATCCCCAGCCTGAAATGGTACAGTCCAGAATGCAGTGGAAGCTCAGGGGAGGCGGGGGGGGGGGCATTAATTTTCTGGGTCCACAACATGTACAGATGAGCTCTAATAATCTCACACTCTGGGATCAAGGGAAAATAGGGTGGGGGGAAAGCGATGAATTTTTGTTCTTGAGAATGCAGTTTGCACGCGAATCTTTTAACACCTGCCCCCTGCCCTCCCCTCCCTCTTGTTCTCCTGCGCATTTTCAAAGGCTATTTTGTTTAACATGTTGGCAAAACTGGAGATGCCTGGGGTTAAACCGTCCCACCCTCCGGTCACTGCTGTGGCTTCGGCTTTTCATTGCGCTCCTCCTGCGTTCCGACTTGAGCTCCCCGCCCCTCCTTTCCCCCTTTTGGCAGAGCCTCTTGGCATATGGGGGGAGAGAGAAATCTGCTACTTCCAACACTCCATCCACCCTATTATCAATTAGGGAGCGAGTGATAAATTCGACACAGCTGGGGGCGTTTTTGTCCTTTTGTTGAAATGTACAGAAACCAGACTTCCCGTGGTTTTGCCTTCAGATGATGTTCAAGGATCACAAAACAGAACCCTCCCCCCCCCCGCTGGGGTCAAAGGGCGCCTGGATTTGGGGGAATGGTGGGGCACCAAGTCCAAAATGGAGAAAATATGGGTTTAAAACATCAAGACTTTCTTGTCCAAAGCATCCCTTGCATTTCTGAGAAAGGAGAAAAGTTTTGAATTTTTTTTAAAAAAGAAAGCAGGAGTGGGGGTGCAGGGAGAGATAATGTAAAACAGAAAAGGCCTGGAATTAACGTGCATGGATGATGTAACTCAGGTGGTAATATGCCTATCATTCATCTGAACTCTCTCTCTCTCTCTCTCTGTGTGTGTGTGTGTGTGTGCGTGCCCCCGTGTGGGCACCCATATACCCACAAAGCAGTTTACCTCCAAAGTGTACTTTTTTTGCATTAAAACCAGAGGCACGACTGATGCCTTCAGCAGGGAAAAAAGGCTCACTATTTTAGTTGAAGGATTGCTTGCATTCACTGCGTGAGTCACTGCTGTGGATGCGAGTCGAATGAGGCAAGGCCATGTTTTTGTTTAGTCGTTTAGTCGTGTCCGACTCTTCGTGTCCCCCTGGACCAGAGCACGCCAGGCACTTCTGTCTTCCACTGCCTCCAGCAGTTTGGCCAAACTCATGCTGGTAGCTTCGAGAACACTGTCCAACCACCTCATCCTCTGTCGTCCCCTTCTCCTTGTGCCCTCCATCTTTCCCAACATCAGGGTCTTTTCCAGGGAGTCTTCTCTTCTCATGAGGCGGCCAAAGTCTTGGAGCCTCTGCTTCAGGATCTGTCCTTCCCGCGAGCACTCAGGGCTGATTTCCTTGTAGTCCATGGGACTCTCAAGAGTCTCCTCCAGCACCAGAATTCAAAAGCATCCATTCTTCGGCGATCAGCCTTCTTTATAGGGCAAGGCCATAGTGGTGACTAATTCTGGGAGGCAACAGGCAACCCCGTGTGAGAGGGAGCACATTTGTTGTGTCTCTGCACTGCAAATGATACAGTTGCTCCAATCACACCCAGCGGTGCCACAGAATCAACTGCTTCCAGCAGAGGGCAATTGAAAAGATGCATGCTAAGAACACAGAATCGCGCAGAGATACAGCAGACAGCCTCCTCTGAGGGTGATAATTCTGCCACGTCTCTACATTGATGTTGACTGAATGGGTCCATCAAACCTTGTGCAGAGAAGCCGCGGCACTTCGTACTCCTGACAGAGGTTGTATGAAGGGAGGTGGGTGCAGAACAGGACATCATACAGTGTTGCGGCACACACACTTGCCTTTGGGCTGATATTTTGGGCTGCTGGGAAGCCTGCATTTACTTCTCAGGGTAAGAAAAGCAATAGACGCCAGAGGGGAGAGCCAGGACTTGACACTGGTCTGCCATTTTTTTATATTCTCTTCCCACATTCTCTGTAAGGAGAAGTCTTGCGTTAAATGAATAAGAAAATACTAAGTCATGTTCATCTCATTATTACCTTAACTATTGTTTAAAGGGTTTTTTTACAAATTGTATTCAAGAGGACAGCAGCGATTCAATTTGTAATAATATGATTCATATATTTGTGTTTGCAGAACTTCTGTGTCAACCTGTTCTGAATAGGCTCCTCTTGGCCAAATCACAGTTAATACGGAATTTTTTATGGTTACCTCTGAATAAGGGGTTCCATCTCAAACGTGTTGGGCTACAGCCTTTCATCTGTGGAATTAGTTCTCGCAAGATGTAGCGATAGCCACCAACTTGGATGGGCCACACTTTCAGAATAAAAATTTCCTTGTGTCCCACCAAATTTTTTATTGATAAGGAATACATTGATTTATTGATTTATTGATAAGGAATACATTGGAAAACAAGAAAGAAACAACAACTAGCTGTGCTTGATTTGTAACATAGAACACAACAACTTTATAATAAACGGGACTTCCAGAAAGTATACAATTATTTTGATACTACACTGAAATGTTTAAATCATGGGTAGGCAACCTAAGGCCCAGGGGCCGGATCCGGCCCAATCGCCTTCTGAATCCAACCTGTGAATGTTTTTGCATGAGTAGAATGTGTCCTTTTATTTAAAATGCATCTCTGGGTTATTTGTGGGGCACAGGAATTCGTTCATTTTTGTTTTTCAAAATATAGTCCGCCCGCCCCCCACATGGTCTGAGGGACAGTGGGCCGGCCCCCTGCTGAAAAAGTTTGCTGACCCCTGGTTTAGATGTTTCTTTGATTGTCCTTGAATTTTACCACCACACTTGCCATCGTCTCCTGCCACACCAGGGTGGCAATGACAAACCCTTTGAGAACCACGGCTTTACAGGGGCGTGGCATGGGGGGCTGCCAAGGCGATGGCCCCAGGCACATTTTTTAAGGGGGCGCTGCCTCACGCCACCCTGCAGCCCTGCACTGCTTTGAGAGACTGGGATCTGATCTGAAATATTCACCTCTTTCATTTATCCCAGCAGACCTTTGAGCGCCATACCTCTCGACTCTCCTTCCAAAACTGAGCCAACAAACTCTTTTCTTTTTCCTTCCTTTGAAAGAACGAAGGAAAGGGAGGGGGTAGAGAGAAAGAAATATTGCAAATGGGGAGGAGAATTGCTGCAATTTCCCCCCTACAGCAATAAAAATCATTTTGTACGACTGAAGATCCTTTGTATGCGTTTAGCTGTGCCCTTTCCCATCTCTTCGCCACCACCCTTTCTCATTCTCTCTCTCTCCCTCTCCCTCTGCAGTTCTATCCATCTTTGAAAGAGTTTATTTTCCTAAAGGAACCCTGACACTAATTGTCTTCCTAAATAAACGGGTCTGATAAATATTTAACAGTGCGACGGAGCAAACGTAGAAGGCGGTAAAACGAACGCTCCAGTCCTAGCAGCCAAGCAAAATAAATGGATCGGGTTTTGCTGCTAGGGGGTTAAAAATATCATTTGCCTATCCCATTGTGTGGGTTGATATTGCTTTCCCCCCCCTCCTCCCTTTTCAAGGGGGAGCAATCACACAGGGTCCTTCTCACTAATCAACTTGCTGAATTCTGCCTGAACGTTGGCATGAAGAATTTTGGCTTTCTCCCTTTGTTGTAATGCACTCTGAAACAAACACTGGGCATGCGTTTCAAGTGCACGAGCGAAATGGCTAGGATCTGCAGAACGCATAGCTGTCAACTTGCAGATTTGAAAATAAGGGACCAGCAGCCTCGAAAATAAGGGATCAGCAGCCAAAATAAGGGATCAACAATTACTTTGATAAAATACATATTTTGTTGCATGCAAATGGCTTTAGATGCCTCTTAGGTCCATAAATTACCATATAGCATATATTCAACACAAAAAAAAGCAACAATTTGCTGTTGACAAAGGACAGCTGGACATAGAAAGGGCCCCATTACCTTCAGTAGCTTATTTAAGGGACATCATCAATAAGGGACAGCGGCGGGACATGGCGCTGGGATAAGGGACTGTCCCGCCAAATAAGGGACGCTTGACAGCTATGGCAGAACGGCACTCATTCCTGTGCAAGCCTCATTGAAACAAATGGGCTCCCACTCAATTCAATCAGGCTCGCACTGGAGAACACCTTGGGAAGGGGTGGTCTTCGTGGCTTCCTTGCGTGCCATTTTTGGACTTCAAAGTCAACGGCCCAAAGTGTTTTCCCGAGCTCCTTATCTCTGGTGCTAGGCAAGATTCAAAATATTTTCAGAGAATACCTTCCTTTCAATTATCATATTGGAGAAATCTGTTAGTTTTAGACTGGGCTTGGGGCAATTTCCAAAGGCCACAATTAATAAACCGCAACCTTATTCCTCCCCCCCCCCCAAAAAACCCCCACACAGAATAAAGCGCCCAGCATCTTTTCCGAAAGATGCTGCTGAAAATAACCAACTTTATTTACTCTTTTGAAAATGGCCTGCTTCAACAAATACGCACACAATATATATACCGTATTTTTTGCTCTATAAGACTCACTTTTCCCTCCTAAAAAGTAAGGGGAAATGTGTGTGCATCTTATGGAGCGAATGCAGGCTGCGCAGCTATCCCAGAAGCCAGAACAGCAAGAGGGATTGCTGCTTTCACTGCGCAGCGATCCCTCTTGCTGTTCTGGCTTCTGAGATTCAGAATATTTTTTTTTCTTGTTTTCCTCCTCCAAAAACTAGGTGCGTCTTGTGGTCTGGTGCTTCTTATAGAGCAAAAAATATGGTATGTATTCCTGTACAAAGAAATGTGAACAGCGCTAATTCAGCGCTAATTCAAAAGACCTCCATCCAAATGGGTTGCTTGGTGGCTGACCATACAGATCTCGGAGTCATTAGAAAAACTCCTGGACGGTTTGTTTCCAGGCTGCCTGGCCTGGCCTTCTCTTCTCCAGACCTGTGGCTCTCATCCTCCCTGGGCGGACCTCGCGAGTTTCCTCTCTCCTCCACCTTCCGCTCTGCATTCTCTCCTTGCCTTCTGCGTCTTCGCTGTGTTGACATTTAGCTGTGATTTATTTATCGTATTCTCCATTCTTTTTTCCTCCCGCCTGCCTTCGCTTGTTCCTCTCTCTTGCTACGCAGAGGCCACTGGAGGGGAGGAAACGCTCACATCCTTCGGCAAGGTAGCAGCATCTTAAAACAAAGCCCTTTATGTCTTTGTAATTGGGGGGAGCCCTCCGAAACCACTCCCCAGGGCTAATTTCCAGGACTGGCCCAAGCGCCAATGCAGCCAAATTGGCTGCTTAGAGCAGAAATGTCATTAGGAGGATCCAGAAAGCAGTGTGCTCTGTACCTAAGAGGCAGCGAGGGACGGCCTGTGTAGCAGAGGGACAGTCCAGTCCAACAAAGGCCCCCTCTAAATGAAGGTCTTCCTTAGAGGGGAGGTGGGGGCTTCAAATTGCCCCCCCCAATATTTCATCTTGAATTGCACTATGTTTCTCCTGAATTGCCTCTCTGCTTAAGTTATACTAGTTGCTTCTATATTTGCCCCTGTACGTGAAAATCAGTGCATGCAAATGTTATGCAAACCTGTGAGCCCCCGTTTGCCAATGGGCAAGTAGACATACCAGCACTGTATCCCAGCACCTTCTGCGTCTCCCAAATAAGCCCTCCCACCAGATGTCAAAGAGAAAAACAACTACCAGACTTTTAGAAGGCAGCCCTGTTTAGGGAAGCTTTTAATGTTTGGCGGACTATTGTATTTTAATATTCTGTTGGAAGCCGCCCAGAGTGGTGGGGAAACCCAGCCAGATGGGCGGGGTATAAATAATAAATTATTATTATTATTATTATTATTATTATTACTACTACTATTTCCTTCCTTATTAAGAAGCGCAATAAATTTTTGCTGAGACAAAAAAACAACACCAAGATGGGTGCCTCGCCTCTGCCATTCCGCAAACATCTAAGGTGATCATACTAGAAGTTGAACCTTATTTCATACTAGAAGTTGAACCTTATTTCATACTAGAAGTTGAACACAGGTGCCCTCCTGAGGGCAGCTGTCTAGCTTAGGGGGCACAGGGCCGATCCACGTGGTCCCCACAGCTCCCCCTCCAAATTGAGGCCATTCTCTACCTTCCAGCACCAGCTGTTTGAGGAGGCCACCTCACTCTACCACAGGGGTCAGCAAACTTTTTCAGCAGGGAACCGGTCCACTGTCCCTCAGATCTTGTGGGGGGCTGGACTATATTTTTTTTAGGGGAATGAATGAATTTCTATGCCTCACAAATAACCCAGAGATGCATTTTAAATAAAAGCACGCATTCTACTCATGTAAAAACACCAGGCAGGCCCCACAAATAACCCAGTGATGCATTTTAAATAAAAGGACACATTCTACTCATGTAAAAACACGCTGATTCCTGGACCGTCCGTGGGCCGGAATTAGAAGGCGATTGGGCCGGATCCGTCCCCCGGGCCTTAGTTTGCCTACCCACGCTCTACCAGGTGGTAGGGCCGGCTCTACATATGACCCACAATTAGCTTGTGGAATTCCCTGCAACATGATGTGACAATGGGTGCTACTCACACGTCTGTCAACGGCTGTTAGTCATGACATCTTCCGTCCTTCTTTCTCCTATTCGTTCCCTCTCTACCACTATCCGTGCATATGAATATTCTCTCTCTCTCTCTCTCTCTTTCTCAGATTCCTGCCCCCCCTTCCCAGCTCCCCCCCCCCCCGAAATTCAAAGAACATGGACTTGTTTGTTTAATTGCCAGCCTGTAACTTCCCATCGCCTTATCAGCCCCGGATCTGAAGGAATTAATTGAGTGTTAACGCATTTTATCTTTGAACAAACGAGGCCCCCAAATCTCTCCACTAATTGCCTTGGCCTGGCTGAGAGGCGGTAATTATCTCTACATTAGCTGGAAATTTCTCCCCTGACTTGGAAAAGAGCAAGGAGGGGCGGGTGGTGGGGAGGGGGGGAGGCTCAGGGTGGAGAAAATAACTGTGCAGCAGCAAAGAGGGGGGAAAGGGGGGTGGGAATCAGCGTTGCAACACAGTCTTGGGTTGAAAAGCTTGCGCATAAGAACACATGAAAGAGTCCTGCTGGTTTAGGCAAAATGTTCCTCCTTCCCAGCACCTCGTGGTCAGCCCAGATTCCTCTGAGAAGCTCATAAGGGGGTATATAAATTAATGCGCATGAGCTTATTTTTTATTCAGAGGTAGGCAAGCCCTGCATATGGAGGTTCTATATGCTTTCCGTTCTTTTCTTTTACAGACGGTGCCGCATTGCAGTTTGGCTATTGCAAAATTGCTTTGTTGTTGTTGTTTAGTCGTTTAGTCGTGTCCGCCTCTTCGTGTCCCCCTGGACCAGAGCACGCCAGGCACTCCTGTCTTCCACTGCCTCCCGCAGTTGGGTCAAACTCATGCTGGTAGCTTCGAGAACACTGTCCAACCATCTCGTCCTCTGTCATCCCCTTCTCCTTGTGCCCTCCATCTTTCCCAACATCAGGGTCTTTTCCAGGGAGTCTTCTCTTCTCATGAGGTGGCCAAAGTCTTGGAGCCTCAGCTTCAGGATCTGTCCTTCCAGTGAGCACTCAGGGCTGATTTCGTTAAGAATGGATAGGCTTGATCTTCTTGCAGTCCATGGGACTCTCAAGAGTCTCCTCCAGCACCAGAATTCAAAAGCATCCATTGTTCGGCGATCAGCCTTCTTTATGGTCCAGCTCTCACTTCCATACATCACTACTGGGAAAACCACAGCTTTTACTATACGGACCTTTGTTGGCAACGTGATGTCTCTACTTTTTAAGATGCTGTCTAGGTTTGTCATTGCTTTTCTCCCAAGAAGCAGGCGTCTTTTAATTTCGTGGCTGCTGTCACCATCTGCAGTGATCATGGAGCCCAAGAAAGTAAAATCTCTCACCGCCTCCATTTCTTCCCCTTTCAAAAATTGCTTTAAGGGCATAAAATCTACTCGAATGTACTAAACCAAACAGAGTTCACATCTGAACATGTATTAGTCGGATTGCACTGTTACTCAATGGTGCCATCCTACAAATGTCTATTCAGAAGTCCCATCGGGCCTTCCCAGGGAAGTGTGTATAGGATTGCAGCCTCAAAATATTTGAATAACTTAAATGCAAAGCACTCAGTTGTTTCTCAGTCAACCCAGTAGGGATGGGCGGATCTGTCAACTCTCTCAGTTTCTCATTTCTCCACATTCAGTTCTCCACATGCCCGGTTTGCAATTTTATTTTTAAAGTCCTCATTAAAATTCGCCAGCAAATTTCAACTAATATGCATGCGCTTGCATGCAGGTTTGCCTTCTGCACACATTTTTGCAAAGCAGTTTCCCCTAAAAGAATGCATTCCCCCCCCATAAACGCACGCATTTCACCTGGCTTGAGAGCAGTACATGTGAAAAGGATCTAGGAGTCTTGGTTGACCACAAACTTGACATGAGCCAACAGTGTGACGCGGCAGCTAAAAAAGCCAATGCAATTCTGGGCTGCATCAATAGGAGTATAGCATCTAGCTCAAGGGAAGTAATAGTGCCACTGTATTCTGCTCTGGTCAGACCTCACCTGGAGTACTGTGTCCAGTTCTGGGCACCACAGTTCAAGAAGGACACTGACAAACTGGAACGTGTCCAGAGGAGGGCAACCAAAATGTTCAAAGGCCTGGAAACGATGCCTTATGAGGAACGGCTAAGGAAGATGGGCATGTTTAGCCTGGAGAAGAGGAGGTTAAGGGGTGATATGATAGCCATGTTCAAATATATAAAAGGATGTCACATAGAGGAGGGAGAAAGGTTGTTTTCTGCTGCTCCAGAGAAGCGGACACGGAGCAATGGATCCAAACTACAAGAAAGAAGATTCCACCTAAACATTAGGAAGAACTTCCTGACAGTAAGAGCTGTTCGACAGTGGAATTTGCTGCCAAGGAGTGTGGTGGAGTCTCCTTCTTTGGAGGTCTTTAAGCAGAGGCTTGACAACCATATGTCAGGAGTGCTCTGATGGTGTTTCCTGCTTGGCAGGGGATTGGACTCGATGGCCCTTGTGGTCTCTTCCAACTCTATGATTCTATGATTCTATGATTCTATGCACAGTTTACCCTAGGGCAGTATTTGCAATTTTGCACAAGTCGGTAGAGAGCGAAATTTGGAGCAGCGCAGATTTCAAAGGATGCTGGTGTTTCGCTTCGTTTATTGACTTGGGAAGTGCAAATTAGCTGGGTCCATCGTTAAATTTCACCCCCATCCCTCTATCCCTTGGCCTCTGCATTCATAGCAAAATCCAGGTATGTCAACGGGCAGTTGCTTCCTTCTGAAGCTTCCCCTTCTAGGGCTAATAGCCTCAGAAACGGGCACACTAAATGCATTCTGCAGGCGAGTGCGTCTGGGCAGGTGAACCTCAAGAACGTTCCATATAGGTAGTGGAGTGGAGTGGTTAGAGTGTTGGACTAGGGCCTAGGAAACCAGGGTTCAAATTCCTAGTCGGCTGTTGTGAAGCTCACTGGCTGACCTTAGGCCAGTCCTCTGCTTGCTTACTCTCTGCCTTGTGGGGATTAGAAGACATCTGAAGGCAGCCCTGTTTAGGGAAGCTTTTAATGTTTAATAGGTTATTGTATTTTAGTGTTTTGTTGGAAGCCGCCCGGAGTGGCTGGGGAAACCCAGCCAGATGGGCAGAGTATAAATAATAAATTATTATTATTATTATTATTATTATTATTAAATGAGGAAGGGGAGAGCCACATGCGCCCCTTGGAGGAAAGGGTGGGATAAAAATGCAATCAACAGTCAACTCCTATTTGGGGACTTCCTTGGCTTTTTTCTAGCCACATAGGACCAGTCTGGATAGTTGGCCTTGGTGAAGATTTGACATTTGAGTTTCTACTGAAATGAGGCTGCATTTTAATGTTGTACTTAATCTTGTTTTTAAGTTGTATTTTAATCAATTGTTTTTATACCTGGCGTTAGCCGCCCTGAGCCCGGTCTTGGCTAGGGAGGGGTGGGTATAAGTAAAATTATCATTATCATTATTATAATTAATTAATTGGTTAATTAATAATTATAATAATTAATAAAAATAATTGATAATATATCCAGCCTCAGGGCCCCACAACCCAGAGAGCAGGTGTTCTCCAGAAATGCCCTTTACCTTCCAAAGGTGCCTAAAGGTGCTCACCTGTTTAGGCCCTGACATGAGTACCTAGCAATCATAGGAATTAATTCTGGTATTTAAATTTTTTAAAAAACAAAAACCCACCCTGTGATTAAATAAATAAATAAATAAATAAATAAATGGCACATGTGTGCCTTGCTCAAGCTTTGTTTAAGAAGAGAGATGAAGTGGTTAGCATTTTGGACAAGTCACTGCTCAGCTGGGTGACCTTGGGCCAGTCATGGTGTCTCAGCCTGACTTGCCTACCTCGCCGAGTTGTTGTGCTGATAAAACGGTGAGGAGGGAAATCCACCCCACGCCACGTTGAGGTCCCTGGAGGAAACTTGGGCTATAAATGTAACCGCAGATAAATAAAATAAATGCTTTTCTGCACTTAAAACGTTCAGTGTGCCACCCGTGCAACAGGACAGGATCCTGCTTGCATCTTCTCTCTTACTAAGTCCGTATAGTTCAAGCTATGGTTTTCCCAGTAGTGATGTATGCAAGTGAGAGCTGGACCATGAAGATGATCACTGCAGATGGTGACAGCAGTCACAAAGTTAAAAGACGCCTGCTTCTTGGGAGAAAAGCAATGACAAACCTAGACAGCATCTTAAAAAGCAGAGACATCACCTTGCCAACAAAGGTCCGTATAGTTAAAGCTATGGTTTTCCCAGTAGTGATGTGTGGAAGTGAGAGCTGGACCATAAAGAAGGCTGATCGCCGAAGAATGGATGCTTTTGAATTCTGGTGCTGGAGGAGACTCTTGAGAGGCCCATGGACTGCAAGAAGATCATACCAATCCATTCTGAAGGAAACCAGCCCTGAGTGCTTACTGGAAGGACAGATCCTAAAGCTGAGGCTCCAATACTTTGGCCACCTCATGAGAAGAGAAGACTCCCTGGAAAAAGACCCTGATGTTGGGAAAGATGGAGGGCACAAGGAGAAGGGGACGACAGAGGACGAGATGGTCGGACAGTGTTCTCGAAGCTACCAGCATGAGTTTGACCTAACTGCGGGAGGCAGTGGAAGACAGGAGTGCCTGGCGTGCTCTGGTCCATGGGGTCACGAAGAGTCGGACACAACTAAATGACTAAATGGCTAAGGAACAACAACAAAAGCTCCTACTAAGTGAAGGAAGGAGCCTGGGTGGGATATTCCTGAGGAGGCCTCAGGCTCCGGCAGGCCTCCTTAGCTCAGGTGTGAGAAAGACCCCTTCAGTGGGAGCATCCTGGACCACTTGCCACAGGTGGAGGGCAAACTCTTTAGCACAGGGGTGTTAAAGAGCCAACACTATGTGAACAAAGGGGTCTTGATGTGTGAATGAGGCCTTATGGGGCCCATTTGGCACAGTGCCATTGATTTAGTGTCTCTCTCTCCGTCAGGGTGCGTGTGCATGTGGAAAGACACACTACCCATTTCCACGCCTACCTCTTTGAAACTTAAAACTTGTTTCTCATGGGTTTCAGAGCGGGAAGCACGCAGAGATAAAAGATTCTGGTTCATATGGAGCCATACTGCAAACAACAGGCCTCTGATCTGGTGAAATAATACATGATTACAGCATGTATTATTATTATTATTATATTATTATTATTATTATTATTATTATTATTTTCCTATGTAAAGGTTTGTGAGAGAAAAAGCTCTGCCTCATTTTTAAAAAAATCAATTTTCCCCCAACTATTCTCGTTCTTTTTCAACACATTTCCTCATGAGACAGAACCTATAGCACAAAAATCCTCTCCAGCCCCATTGAAAGCAACATCCCCCCCCACAGCCTTTGGGGTCAAAAGACCAAGGCTCCTCCCCAGTATGAATAGAACTTAATTTCAATCCTAGCATCGTTCCCTCAACAAGAGTAATAATAATTAGCACTGTTGACTGATTAAATGTTTTGTCTTAATTAATCATCTGTCTTCATTGCTTTGTATTTAAATATATATGCATATGGGGCCACCCCCCCAAAAAAAATACAGACACCTCTTTGGGTTATTGATGGAAATGCAAGATAACTCTGCAGTTCCGTAAACAAAATCTTCCACATTTGGCTTTTCTCCCCCTTTTGCGGTAATTTAGGAAGACCAGAATAGCTTCACCAAATGAGGTTGCTCTTTTGATTTGCAGCCCCACTGATGAATTACAGTTTTAATGAATTAATTAAAATTAATTAAAACCGGCCCCCACCAATTGATTTAACTGAAGCCTGAGCTGATTTGCCTGCCCATTAGACCGATTAAGGCTCACAGCCCAAGTCATAACAAGGGACAGAGGGGCTCTGAGCATGTGCAGAGTTTGCCATGACAAGCAGGAACTAGGTTCCACAGGCCAGAGGCTATGAGTTACAGGCGTCTCAGAACCGGGCCATCAATCATTGGCAGGGATCACGCCGCTGGGCTGGCAATCCATAAAACACGGACTGGATTTTACTCATGTTCCTGTGGTCCAGCATTTTTCAGATACAGTGGTGCCTCGCAAGACGAAAAGAATTCGTTCCTTGAGTCTTTTCGTCTTGCGATGTTTTTCGTCTTGCGAAGCACGGTCCGTCGCAACTGCGCCTCTTCAAGCGGCTTTTAAAAAAAAGTGCAAGACGTTTTCGTCTTGCGAAGCAAGCCCATAGGGAGATTCGTCTGGCGAAGCAACGCAAAACCGAAAAACCCTTTCGTCTAGCGAGTTTTTCGTCTTGCAAGGCATTCGTCTTGCGGGGCACCACTGTATGTATTTCTTATTCTGCATGCCTGTTAGTTTTTCCACTGGTGATTTATAAACACACACACAGAGAGACACAACCCAGCTTCTCCCTTTCTGCCCGCAACTCCCGAACACATTTTGCGATGAAACCATGCGATGTGACTTACAGTCTGCGTATGGAGGATCTGCTCAATAAACGAGCTTGTCTTTTCTGAAGCAAAGGTGCACTTGAGAACGTAGAGGCGTGGCAGAGCTCTAACTGTCTTCTGGGGAGACAGTTCCCACCTGAGCCCAAGCCCTTAGCGGCTGGGGCAGAAACGATGGCTGTGAAATGGGGGTGACATTGCAAGCTCTGTTTGGACAGAGACTTGAACCAGCAGTCTCCTAGTCAGTGCACCCCTTGAGATATGCCTCTTGGGACTGTGGGGAGGAGCAGATGGGGCTGTCCTTCCAGACTTGAAGAGATCTTTATCAACGACTTGGATGATGGACTCAAGGGCATCCTGATCAAATTTGCAGATGACACCAAACTGGGAGGGGTGGCTAACACCCCAGAGGACAGGATCACACTTCAAAACGACCTTGACAGATTAGAGAACTGGGCCAAAACAAACAAGATGAATTTTAACAGGGAGAAATGTAAAGTATTGCACTTGGGCAAAAAAAATGAGAGGCACAAATACAAGATGTGGGACACCTGGCTTGAGAGCAGTACATGTGAAAAGGATCTAGGAGTCTTGGTTGACCACAAACTTGACATGAGCCAACAGTCTGATGCGGCAGCTAAAAAAGCCAATGCAATTCTGGGCCTCATCAATAGGAGTATAGCATCTAGATCAAGGGAAGTAATAGTGCCACTGTATTCTGCTCTGGTCAGACCTCACCTGGAGTACTGTGTCCAGTTCTGGGCACCACAGTTCAAGAAGGACACTGACAAACTGGAACGTGTCCAGAGGAGGGTAACCAAAATGGTCAAAGGCCTGGAAACGATGCCTTATGAGGAACGGCTAAGGGAGCTGGGCATGTTTAGCCTGGAGAAGAGGAGGTTAAGGGGTGATATGATAGCCATGTTCAAATATATAAAAGGAAGTCACATAGAGGAGGGAGAAAGGTTGTTTTCTGCTGCTCCAGAGAAGCGGACACGGAGCAATGGATCCAAACTACAAGAAAGAAGATTCCACCTAAACATTAGGAAGAACTTCCTGACAGTAAGAGCTGTTCGACAGTGGAATTTGCTGCCAAGGAGTGTGGTGGAGTCTCCTTCTTTGGAGGTCTTTAAGCAGAGGCTTGACAAACATATGTCAGGAGTGCTCTGATGGTGTTTCCTGCTTGGCAGGGGGTTGGACTCGATGGCCCTTGTGGTCTCTTCCAACTCTATGATTCTATGATTCTATGATTCTATGATTCTAGATGAACATAAAAACATGAGAAGAGCCTTCTGGATCGGGCCAGTACCCCAATGAGTCCAGCAATCCTGTTCTCAAAGTGGCCCCCCAGATCCCTGTGGGAAACCCCCCTGAGCACTAGAGCCCTCTCTCCTCCTGTCATTTCCAGCACATCCCCTCCCCCACCGAAAACTATTTAATGAAGTATGAATATGAAATGCAAAGGTGGACTCAGGGTTGAATGTTCTTTTTAAAAGCAGCTTTTATCTGGGGTTAGAGGAACTTCACTATACCCCAAGGTGATCTTTAAAGTGATAGCTTTATTGGAGAACTCTATTATTATTATTTTTAAAACCACTCACGTTGCACTATTTCTATATTCTGTGATTTCCCTTAGACAGTCTATTGCTTTAAGAACAAAACAGCCTGTTTGCTGGATCTAGCCAAAGCCCTCCTAGTCTCAAGGCAAATCTAAAAAAATGTAGTACAGTGGTACCTCGGGTTAAGAACTTAATTCGTTCTGGAGGTCCGTTCTTAACCTGAATCTGTTCTTAACCTGAGGTACCACTTTAGCTAATGGGGACTCCTGCTGCCGCCGCATGATTTCTGTTCTCATCCTGAAGCAAAGTGCGTAACCCGAGGTACTATTTCCGGGATAGCAGAGTCTGTAACCTGAAGCGTCTGTAACCTGAAGCATCTGTAACCCGAGGTATCACTGTATAAACACTGACAACTGGGAAACACTGGCCTGCGAGCGCTCCAATTGGAGAACAGCCTTTACCAAAGGTGTCATGGGCTTTGAAGATGCTAGAACTCAGGACGCAAGGGAGAAACGTGCTAGGAGGAAGGCACTCTTTGCAAATCCACACCGGGAACAACTCCCACCCAGAAACCAATGTCCCCACCGTGAAAGGACGTATGGATCCAGAATTGGCCTCCACAGTCACCTACAGACTCATTGTTAAAACCGTGTTTATGGAAAACAATCTTACTCAGCTACGAGGGATCGCCAAAGAAGAAGAAGACATAGTCCACCATCCTGTTCTGATAGCGGCCTACCCCGCAAGCAGGACCTGAGAGCAACTGTGCTCTTCCCATTTGGGATTCCCAATAACTCTCATTCATAGGCACCCTGTCTCCAGCAGTGGAAGTAGAATGTAGCCATCATGACTAGTTATTTGTTGTTTAGTCGTTTAGTCGTGTCCGATTCTTCGTGACCCCATGGACCAGAGCACGCCAGGCACTTCTGTCTTCCACTGCCTCCCGCAGTTTGGTCAGACTCATGTTTGTAGCTTCGAGAACACTGTCTAACCATCTCATCCTCTGTCGTCCCCTTCTTCTTGTGCCCTCCATCTTTCCCAACATCAGGGTCTTTTCCAGGGAGTCTTCTCTTCTCATGAGGTGGACAAAGTCTTGGAGCCTCAGCTTCACGATCTGTCCTTCCAGTGAGCACTCAGGGCTGATTTCCTTAAGAATGGATAGGTTTGTTCTTCTTGCAGTCCATGGGACTCTCAAGAGTCTCCTCCAGCACCAGAATTCAAAAGCATCAATTCTTCGGCGATCAGCCTTCTTTATGGTCCAGCTCTCACTTCCATACATCACTACTGGGAAAACCATGGCTTTTACAATATGGACCTTTGTTGGCAAGGTGATGTCTCTGCTTTTTAAGATGTTGTCTAGGTTTGCCATCGCCTTTCTCCCAAGGAGCAGGCATCTTGGCAGAACTCTATTAGCCTTTGCCCTGCTTCATTTTGAACTCCAAGGCCAAACTTGCCAGTTGTTCCTTTTATCTCTTGACTCCCTACTTTAGCATTCCAATCCCCTATAATGAGAAGAACATCCTTCTTTGGTGTCATTTCTATAAGGTGTTGTAAGTCTTCATAGAATTGGTCAATTTCCGTTTCTTCAGCACCAGTGGTTGGTGCATAAACTTGGATTACTGTGAT